TCGTTTGGTGTTTGAGGTCAGATTGGGAGGGCTGCCCCAATCATCAGGAAGGGGAAAAAACACAGGAATAATTCATCGCCGATCCCCCAGAAAATATGGGAAAACATGGGAAGTGGGGGTAAGACAAAGACCCAGAAAACATGCAAACAGATCGGGAATCCTATTATTTGTGTGCATTTATTTGTGTGTCCCAGGGCCCCTTGAAATCAGGCGATCGCAGACATGGATTAAGGGGGCGCGGATTAGCGACGGGTCCCGTTTTCACTCGAAGTCGTGGATCTCCGCCGCCGAACGAGGCGGCGCCGGCCGCATTCTGGGGAGGGCGCCTCTTCCGATCCATGGACTTGGCGACCGCGCGCCAGATCGATGGATCGCTAATCCATGTTTGCGCGCCCCCGACCCAAGGGAGAACCAGAGTCACTCCTGAGCGAGCCAAGGCCATCCCCAAGTGAACCCAACTCGTTTGGCTTTTTGAGGTCGTGCCGCGTGGTGTGTTCCGCGCTGCTCCACCGCAGGTGGGTCCCGGAGCGCTGGGGAGAGGCCGAACGGAGCGCGGAGAGCCTCCGAGGGGGCCCTCGCGCGGCCCCGTGGCACCCAAGAGCCCAAAGAGGGGCCCCCTGGGGCCCCCAGGGCGCCGCCGACCCGCCTCCCCGCGGCCCAAGAGGCGCACCCCAGAGACTCGCACGAGCTGATCGACAGCGAAGCTCGCGAGATGCCACAGATGCCCTACTCAGTGCGTGGGTGCGTTCGACTGGGCCGGATGCTACGCGGCAGTGCCTAGGCATCTCGAACTTGACGAAGCCGCCCGGGGCAAGATGGAGGTCTCTCGATCTGGTCAAGCCTGCAGAGCGGGAGGCACGGCGGGCCCCCCTTGGGGGAAGCTTGCACGCAGATTGTGCTGCAATCGGTGGGTGCTGCTGCCTCGACGAGGGTCGGCACCAGTTGTTGCAATGTTTCTGTGGGGCGTATTTGCACCCCCTTGGGGGACTACAGTGGGGGCGCGCATCAAGAAACCACATGTTTTTCGTCAGGGTATGCTGGGTTTCTTCGCTCCTCGCGCTGCGCGGTGACTTCCCGCAGCCGTTGAAGGAGCTGCTGCGTTCAGGGTGCTCCAGGTTTCCCTTCGGGTGCACCTCGCGCGCGGGTTCTCAGGGTTGGGTTGCTTGCGAGGGTTTCAGGCGGCCGTGCCCGCACTGCAGGCTGTCTTGGAGGCCAGCCAAGGGCCTTTCTGGGCTCCGTGGGGCACGATGTGGCTCAAGCCATTCTTCGGGAGGGGAAAAAACACACAGACACAATGAATCGTCGATTCCCCAGAAAATCTGGAGAAGTATGGGTTGGGGGGAAGACCAAACCTTAAGCAAGATGAGAAAATTTGGGGAATCCTGTTGTTCGTGTCTATTTATTTGTGTGTCCCAAGGCCTCTTCAATTCTGGCTCAAGCCAGTTTGGCTCAAGCACACCTTCTCAAGAGCACACCTTCAAAAGAGCACAGCTTCAAACCTACCTGCATTCTATCGTCCTTCCCCATGCTTTCAGTTTGCTCTCGACATGTCGGGTGTTGCACCTTCGCCGCCTGCTGTTCGTGCTGGCACCCGCGCGCCAGGCACCCCAGTCGGGTACCTCGTCCAGGACCCATGGGAGAACATGGCGAAGAAGCTGCGCTCTGGGCATGGTCCAGATTCCCCAGCGACCCCGCTCCTCGGCGAGATGCGCGTGGATGATCAGGGCTACATGCAGATGCCAGGAGGCGACATGGATGGTCCAGCCGACCAGGGAGCATCAGTTTTGCGCCAGTTGGAGTTTGGCGCTGCTGCGGCTTCCTCGGACAAAGCGGATGAGCCTGTCACGATGGCCGGTATCGCTGTTCTCCTTAAGCAGCAATTGGCCTTTGTGACCTCGGTTGTCGTAGTGGCACTTTCTCTGGAGACGAAAAGGGGTGCGCGCCGAAATTCATTCCAAACGGAATTCAGCTTTTCTTGATGGTTTCGGTGTGCAGGCGCGCCCTGTCGCGCGGTGGTTTCCATGCGCATCGTAGAGCGTGCTGGTGCATAACGCGAGGAATTCGCCCTGCACGTTGCGAGGGGGAATTCGCTCTGCACGTTGCGTGTCAATCACGCGTGGCTTGAGCTACTTCGCAGGCGCTTTCTGGCGAGGTCCTTCGAGGGCCCCTGCCGGGGCCTCCGAGTGCCCAGAGCTCCCGGCAGCCATGGTCGACAGTTGGCAACAGCAGCGCCGCCGAAAGGGCCGCCGAAAGAGCCGTCGAAAGGGCCGCCGAAATTGCCGCTGAAAGGGCTGCCGAAAGAGCCGTCGACAGGGCCGCCGAGATTGCCGCCGAAATTGCCACCGAAATTGCCGCCGAAATCGCCGCCGAAATTGCCGCCAAACCCGCCGCCGAAATTTCCGCCGAAATTCCGGATTGTGCCGCCGAAAAGAGGCCGACATTGACCTTGGCTGTGACTCGATGCCTGTGTCCGCGGCGTCATCGAGCTTGATAAAAATAGTGATTTCGCTTGGGACAGGGCAATGGAAATTTCGGCGGCTGAATTTCGGCGGCGATTTTGGCGGCTGATTTCGGCGGCGATTTTGGCGGAGTTCCCAATTATTTCGGCGGCGATTTCGGCGGCGATTTCGGCGGCAATTTCGGCGGCAAGTTCGGCGGCAATTTCGGCGGCAATTTCGGCGGCGATTTCGGCGGCGATTTCGGCGGCAATTTCGGGGGCGATTTCGCCGACGATCTCTGCGGCCCCTTCGGCGGCCCTCCTGGCGGCCATTTCAAGGGCCATGTCGGCGGTTTTGTTTTTGACAGCTGTCGACGCA